CTGCTGCTGAGCTTCTGGAGGGGGAAGACCCCAACCCTCAGGACTTTGCCACCCGCGTGGGCACGGAGGGCGAGCCGAACGCTGCGAGACGACGGCGTCTGGAGGAGGCGGCCATGGATCAGCCTGACCTTCGAATTGTCCAGTTTCTAACCACTCTTAAGAGGAAAACCAGTCCGTTCAAACCCACTTTTCTTTGTCAGAGGTTTCCTGTTTGAGCATGCCACTCTGTTTTTGTTATACTTCACATACGTGATGTGGGGGGAGGCCTCGAGATGGAGGAGGCAGCCGTGCTGTTGGAGGGAAGCGGCACGTTTGCTGCAAAAACGTGGTGCTTTGAAGATTTCCAGTGTGTGCACGCATTGACAGCCTGCTTTGGGTTATAATTTAAGTTTTGGAGAGAAGGGGAGTTAAAGATGAGATAATTGCTTGAATGGAAATTGATGCTTCTGTTGTACAAAGGGGATAATGAAATGGATATTTCCCTTTCTGCTGCAGATTCTTTCCATCAGAAAAACGTGGAAGGAGCGTCTCCCAGATACGCACTGAGGTGTCCTAGAGCAAATCAATACTAATGGTGTGGGGGCGACCATAGCATTGCCAGAAACAGATTAAAATTCAACTTCCAACCGCTCCGAGGCAGCCTTTAGAGGGTTCATTAGCTTTCTGAACTACTCTTTTGCTTCAGCTTGGAACATTTCCTTCTTTCACATCCTTATTAAAATTCCTTAATGCAACTGTGTTTGTGTACTTCACAGGTTTCAGCATTTTCTACATGGGAAAAAGAGTTACACAAAATAGTCTTTGATCCACGTTACCTTCTGCTCAATTCAGAAGAGCGTAAACAGGTGAGCATTACCGCCAGTGTAGCTTCTGACGGGCAGCAGACGTCTCCCAAATTAATGGTAATAACAGAGTAATTATCTTGGTAGGATAAAAAGAATTGCATAAAATTAGAATTTCTTTGTTGAGTTTTTCGGTGAGACTCGTGGTGTAGGCTCTGCTCATGAGAAGGTGCCGTCTCCTTGGAAGAGCAAGTGGCAGCAAGTGAGGGTGTGCATGGAGACGGGCTACGGTCTCTTGGGTTGTAGGAACAAACCCTGCTGAGTCTGGGAGACTGGGCTGTAGGAAGGGAAGTGGCCGTAACGTAATGTTTCCACTCTGAATTATTTAAATATGGTAGAGAGACTACTTCATTTTTATTACTTAGAATATTTTCTGGGAGTTTGACAGTATTTACTGCTATATTTTGCAATAACTAAACTTGCTAGACATAAATGGATAGAGCACTGTGGCTGTGCTGGTATCTGTTTGAAAGGCTTTAGTTCTTCTGGCGAGCTGCAAAGGGAAGTGGACTTTCTGCTGCCTCGTTTATTGAGCTGTTAATTATCACTAGGGATCTAAAGGAACCTGAGGGCTGCAGATTAGTCTAAAAAATTTAGGAGAGATGCAAGGATGTTGCAGGGAAGGTGAACGCTTCTATTCTGTAGTTATTTCTCTTCCGTACCAATCTTTTGTCATCCTGGAGAAGGAACCGTTTTGAATATGGAATTGTCCATTTTATAAATAAACACGATGAAAAATGTACTAATTCCTATTCCGTTGCGCTGGGGCCCATATTGTCTGGTGATTCTCCAGAGAGCTTCCTGTAGGCATTTACGGAGGGACTGGGCACATAAATCTTCATTTACTCCCTTTCCAATATTTTCTTTCCTAAGAAAAAAAAGTGAAATAAAATAATAATGAAATATGGGAACGAAAATGTAAGAGAAACTGCTGGAACAGAAAATACTGCTAGACAAGAAACTAGGCAGGGAGCTTCATATTTATTTCAGGGAATCAGCAAGGGCAAAACCTAGACCTAGATGAGTCAATCAAGTTCTATTACTACTTTCATTTTGTCAGCCTTGGAGGTGATATAATAAAAATACGTCATGAATACACATAATATGATGTGCTTGAAGCGCTGCTAAGGGAGACCTCGTCTGTGGGGTGTATTTAATACTCAAGGAAAGGGTTATGAAAAGCAAGTAGGCACTCCTGTAGGTAGAAGCCCGTGGCCAGGCTGAGGCTGGGTCTGCGAGTGACGTGGTTCAGGCTCAGAGCTAAGGGGGACGAGGGTGATGGTCGGCTGCTCTGCTACCAAACGGGTGAAAACACACTGAGCTTGGGAGCACACGCCACCTGCGGAAGATGTTTTAGCTACTAAGCTTGAAGTTAAGATTTCCAGATGTTCTTTATGAGTAGTTCCATTTAATTAGACCCCATTCTTCTCCAAGAAGTAATTTTAAGAAGAAAGTTAGACTTGGACAAGAGTAGATGCCTGAGTTCTTCCCAAAGTGCAACTCAAATCAGTAGAAGACATTATTTAGGTTTATGGAAACTTCTGCCTTTCACAGATGCTGACTGCGTGGCCTGAATAGCGAGCGTTTGAGTACTTTTAAATTATGCACATGAATTTGTATTGGAGGGAATTAGAGGGGATAAGCAGCTCACAATGAAAGTGAGGAATGAGTGAATGAAGGAGTGAAGGAATGAATGAAGGCGCGAAGGATGGATGAAGGAGTGCCGGAGCATCGCTGGCTCTGCTGCCGTTTTCTTCTCTCCACGGTTGGGCAGGTAGATTGGAAAGGGCAGGGAAAGCATTCTGACCATGATCTCCATGCATCTGAGGGAACCTCCTCTTGACTTGGACTTGTGTTGGGGCGGGTTTGACTTCCAGGAGTGCAAGCTCTGCTGTCAGTGGGTGTCCTTACACAGCCCGAGGAACGTAACGATCTGTTATTGAACATCTGCGGTGTGCTCTGCTTGCTTCCCAATATTTGCCAAGGGGTTATTAACAGTTGAAAGATGCTACTATATTTAAGCAAGGAACCCTGAAGGGTAAAGGAGCAACTGTGTTGAAATAATGAGCTATCTGTTAATTTTGATTTATTGCCTTCATAATACCTTCACTGACACCAGAAAGGCAAGCAAGAACAGTGTAATCTACTTTATTTGCTCCATTTTTTCCATCTCCTCTTATACTCAACTTACGCCACAGCATACAGTGTAATATCTTTAGATTTCCTGGCTTTTTCGTAGTACCTTTTTCATGGCCACTTTTTGATGTTTACTTTTCCAGTGCTGTTTCTTCCCTTTTCCACATATCATACTAAACACCAGTTGTAATTTGGTTACTTTAGCTTTAATGAAATGTAGATTTGCACCTGTACATTCTCCTGGCTGATGAGAAAGCAACTGTTGTAGTAACTGTAGTAATCATATTTAATGTATGTAATTTGTGGTGAAACGGATGGTGAATATGAAAGCTAATAGCATTTTGAGGAGCAGCTCCTTTTGTTCAACAACTTGGTGTGCCACACTTTTTAGAGCGTGAAACCAGCAGAGCCAGGTTTTTGGTATTATAAATGTGATTAAAGCAGCTGGCAGAAATTTGTGACATAGTGAACTCTTAACTCCTTTTCAAGGCACCAAAAGTCCTGATGCTGAGCACCGTGCTGCGTATTTAGCTGCCAAATACCGTTAGAGGAAGGTTGGCGACCATTCCAAACAGATTAAAGCTTTGGGGTCTATGTGTACAGAGGATGATGTGTAAGCTCGTGTTTTTTGACAACTGATTGGAAAGGTCTTGAGGCTTTTTGGGGGGTAACCTACAAAATATTGACGTTTAGCATTATAGACATTTTCAGGAATTCCAGCAAGTTGGGAAAGATGCGAGGTCCAAACGAAAGAAGTGCAGTCAGTTGTACAGACGTACAAAAATAGAGCTGTAGGCATGAAAATGTGAGCAAGAGTCAGGAGATTTTCATTTATGTTGCACATGATGTTTGAATGAAGATGTTATCTGTCCAGATTATACCTTTGTCCAGCTACTTATTTTGTGAGAACGTGATCAGTGCTTCATGAAGCAGGTCCTGTACTGCGAGTCAGCGTGTACTGAGGGCAGATAAGAACTGCAGGTCCCGAGATTGACAGCCCTTTGATGAAGCATAAATACCGTAAAGGCTTTGTTAATAAATGCTGTATCTTGTTTCCCTGTCTTGGAAAGATATTTGAACAGTTTGTCAAGACCAGGATCAGAGAAGAGTACAAAGAAAAGAAAAATAAGTTGCTGTTAGCCAAAGAAGAATTTAAAAAGCTCCTTGAAGAATCCAAGTTATCGCCAAGGTATGGCATTGCCTGCTGAAGATTTGTTGAGATAAGCTTTCTTGTTTAGCCTCTGCTGATCAGCTTTCTCGTTTAGCCTCTGCTGATCAGCCCTGGAACGCCAGAGCGCTGAAGCTACTCCCCATAGCCAGCGTGTGCATCCGTTGTTACTGTGCTGTGCCGACATTTCGTCCCTATTTTTACAATATTTTGTTATATTCCTGGGAAAGGGACTGTACCGTTTCTCTCTCTGTTCCTTTCTCTCTCGCTCTGTCATTAAAAACATGTAATAGTTTGCATAAAACATTTCTTTTATATGCCTATGTATGGTATAATTATAGAACACACAAACGTATGTATTAGCTATATAAAACCCTACCCGAATATTAAATCTCATTTATATTAGGCATACAGCTGTAACTAGTGAAAAACTGCGTTTAGGGTTTTTTTTGATAGAAGAGCAACATAATTTAACAAAGTTAGTGTCAATACCACATCGCTAAATTAAAATAAACCATGCAGTGCAAGGATTTATTTTTCTGCATTGATTTTGAAGTAACGGATCCAAAACTGCACAATGGCAAATGCAGTTCTTAGGATAGCACTTGCTCGTTTGTATATGATATGAAAATAAAGAGGTGTATGTGTTTTAAGTGTGGTTAAGCTGTTGGAACTAAGAAATCATGGTTTTCTCTGCTAAACTATGCAGGTAATTTTACAGCACTGCCCGCCTGGACACACGGATAGAACAACGCATCAGGCTCTTTGGAAGTAATAATTAGAAGGGTTTTTTTACAACAAAGCTCAGAATATTCTGGGCTAATGCAGCAGCTAAATGCTGGTTCCAGCAGTGATTTTTTCAGTCTGCAAGAGCAAAATCGTGCTGGCCTGCAGGACAGAGCACATTTTACCGATTAATATTTTTGTTGAGCTGACTGTGAGACCACAGCATCAAAGAAACTCATTCACCAGCAGCAGTCTCTGGCCGGCTTTCGACAGGCAATCAGAGGCCACGTTTGCACTGGCAAATGCTGGACCTGCTGGTTAAGTCCTCAGGCAGAGCTGCCCCTGGGTTTCAGCTGCATTGTGCCCATCACTTGGTTACAAGCAATGTTTTGCCGTTTTCAGAGAAGATGAAACCGGTGTGGTATTTCCCCAGGTGTCCGGTACTGCTGCCAGGCCAGGGGATGTGTTAGCAATTAGACACGGGTGTGGGGTTGCCCTACTATAGGCTAAGTACTGAGATACTGTCCGTAAGTACCGGCAGGCGAAGGTTAAAGCCACGGTAACTGGGCTGCAGCCAACACTGTGTTAAGGATTCAGAATTGTCGCGTCAGCTGTCACCCAGGTTTGAATTGAAAAGCAGAGGTTAGCTCTTGCAGGCTGCCCCGTGAGTCCAGAGCCTGGGCAGTCCGGGCATGGTCTCGCCTCCCTCGTCCCGCCTTTACCATCATGGTCCTGTCCGATACTCCCCAGAACACCCCTCGTTTTTAGTGTCCGTCTGAAAAGTTACGCGAGATCCAGGTCCAAGAGTCTGAGTGTGAAGGGACAGAGTCGCAGCTTTAAAATGTCTCTCTTCTGCAGAACAACCTTTAAGGAATTCGCAGAGAAGTACGGAAGAGACCAGCGCTTTCGCCTTGTTCAGAAGAAGAAGGACCAAGAGCATTTCTTCAACCAGTTCATACTTATTCTTAAAAAGAGGGACAAAGAAAACAGGCTAAGGCTACGGAAAATGAGATAAAAACTCCTGACACTGGCAATAAAGACACAAGTCCACTGCTGTGACTGCAGTAAGAAATGTGAACGAAGGCTGAAGCGTCCGGGGTTGAACTTGCGGCAGCTCGGCGAGGAAGCGGACGTCCCGGAGAAGAACTTGCTCTGGACGGAGTCTGTTGAGCGTGCGTTGAACTTGCGAAGGCTGTTCTGCAGGAGTCTGAAGGATATTTTGTTCTCAAAGAATTAATGTTTCATATTGAAGCTCTCTTTTGTACAACATCCAGAGTTTGATGCATTTCTAATTGCCATGATATGTCAATCCCGTAATTGTTTTAATTATGCAAATTACTTGTAATATACACAAATTATGAATCCAGTGCAGATTTGTAATTAAGCAAAAGCAGATGCCATCCATAACAATCTCAAGATATTCTCATCATTTAGAGGAATTATCTAAAGCAATCTTTTGGCAACTTTATGCGTTAACATAAAGTGTTCAGAGGTGCGGTGGTCGCAGGAGTTCATTACCCGGTGTTCATACGTCTCTGTCCAGTACTCTGAGTAGTAGTAATGAGATATTGTTGATCTTAGTGAAGACTGTGAAAATCTTGGCATATATTCCATAGGAAAACTCTTCAGTTTCGAAAATGGCTTTCTAATTACTGTGAAGGGTGCTTTCGGGCACACAGGCGATAGCAACACTTCCCCGTCACTGGTCCTGGAAAGAAGTTATTTTGTAAAACCATCACCGTACGATTTCAGTTATGTTACTGTATGTGAGAAGTCTGCATGAGATTTTTCTCATCATATTTGTATAAATAAATATTTATCTTTTTTTAATTAATAAATATTTTAAGCCAATTTTCAGGGGGTTTTAAGTGTCTAAACTTTTTGGAATATTGGGTAAAATAATGCAGGTCTCACGGTTTTTACTTGAGAGGTAGAAAACCAGAGAGAGCTCCCACCGCTCATGGTTTGTACGCAGATTCCACTCGTGTCAACTGGAGTTCTGAGCATGTTGAGAGCAAAGTAGTCGCTCCGACTATGAAGGTAGGCTATCATGGC